CTTGGAAAAAAAAAAAAAAAAGAAAAAGAAAATAATCTAGTTTAGAATCACTAATCTAAAAAGAAAAAAATCAAGCCAGGCGAGGTGGTGTACTCTTTTAATCCTAACACTCCCAGAGGCAGAGGTAGACAGAGCTCTGAGTTCAAGGCCATCCTGGACTACAGGTCCAGGAGGACAACCAAGGCTATAAAGAGAAACCCTGTCTCTTTTTTATGTATGTTTGTCATGCCTGGTACAAAAGGAGGCTAGAACTTAGCAAACATGTCCCCTGGCACTGGAGTTACGGGTAGTTGTAGCTGCCACATGGGTGCTGGGAATTGAACTCAGGTCCTCTGGGAGAGCAACCAGTGTTCTTAAGCCACTGAACCATTTCTCCTGCCCCTTTATTTTTATTTATGTGTACTTGTGTGTGTGTGTTTACTGTAAATCATTGTTTTTTCTTCATCAGGCAATTATTATAGCTTACGCTCCCAGCATGAGAAAGCAGCCTTATATTTCCAGAGAGCCCTCAAGTTGAACCCTAGGTATCTCGGGGCCTGGACGTTGATGGGGCATGAGTACATGGAAATGAAAAACACATCTGCTGCTATCCAGGCTTACCGGCAAGTGTCCAGTTGGGTTGGGAGGGGTGAGTGGAACAGGAGCCTCTGCTAAGCCCATGTGTGGCTAACCTTAATTCTTTTGCCATGTTTCTGTCTGTTTTGTCTATTTCTTAGACATGCCATTGAGGTCAACAAGAGAGACTACAGAGCTTGGTATGGCCTTGGACAGACCTATGAAATCCTTAAGATGCCATTTTATTGCCTTTATTATTATAGACGGGCCCACCAGCTGCGGTAAGTTGGTTTCTTGACAGTGTGGAAAGGGTTGATATGATACCATCTCTCTCTCAGAACTAAAGGGTGTGGGTCTGGTCATTTTTACTTAGTTTCTCTACTAGTGGGTTTATGGGATAATTATAAACACTAAGTAATGTTATTAAATGAAGCATTGACTGAAGAACAGTCCTTGCATAGACTGGGAACAGTGTGAAATAGTAGAGACTAAGCTTTCAGGTGAGGACTTGAGGTTTTGGTAAAGTCTTTGCTCTAACTATTTGTTACCCTTTTTCATAGTCCCAATGATTCTCGTATGCTGGTTGCCTTAGGAGAATGTTATGAGAAACTCAATCAACTAGTGGAAGCCAAAAAGGTACCTCAAATTTCAGCCTGGAGAATTTGAGCAGAAATCATCTGTTGTTCAGAAGGACGTTGAGCTGTGTACAGTGCTGTAGTAGTCCCCGGGTCCCCCCCCCCCTCCGTAATCTGATCTGTGTGTAGCATAAAAGAAAATGTAGGCTGAGATTATCAGCGTGGATGTCTACATGTATAGCCTGGACCTATATAACAGGAAAAACGCTCTGTGTTGTGTAAGCCTGCATTTCTAGAAGGCTTGCGTGGCCTTAGTGTTTATGTGATTAGTTGTTCCACATGGGCAGCAGTCAGAAGTGACCGGTTTATTCTTCGACAGTGTTACTGGAGAGCATATGCTGTGGGAGATGTGGAGAAGATGGCTCTCGTGAAGCTGGCAAAGTGAGTGGAATGTCTTTGATACTTGTGTTGGTTCTCCTGAGGTTGTGTCATGAGTGTAGGCCTGGAGCAGGGTGTGGAAAGACTTGTTCTGCAGTTGCGCACAGCTCTTTCCTTTTCTCTGTGTTGTAGATGAACCCAGGACCTTATACATGCTAGGCATGAAGTTATATTCTGGCTTTAGCCTCTTGACTCTAGAGAGTTCCACTTCACCTTGAATTGGAATAGATTTCCTGTTAGGCAAGAGATGAAAAATGAACTGAAAAAGGTCTGAGTGAACTAGAAGTGGCATTGTGTGGTCGAGGACTCACCTAGCATGCATCAGGGCCTGTGTGCATGGGAGAATTGCTCAGAAGTAGTCAGCTGTTGGCTATCGCTTTCATTCGTACCAGTGTTAGCAGGAAATTTTTGGAAGGGTATATTATCCAATTATCAGTTTAAGTCAACTACTCTTTTTTAAAAAGTTTTTTAAATTTTGTGTATATGTATGTGGTATGTGCATGTGGAGGTCGCGCCAACCATTATGTGGTCCCCAGGAACTGAACTCGATTGTCAGGCTTTGCTTCAGCTGCTAAGCCAGCTCACCTGGCCCTTAACTTTTTTTTTTTTTTTTTTTTTTTTGAGGCAAGGACTTACTATGTAGCACTGGTAGACACCCTGCTTTTTGTTGTTGTTATTTTGTTTTGTTTTTTAAGATAGGGTTTCTTTGTGTGGCCCTGGCTATCCTGGAACTGCTTTGTAGACCAGGCTGGGCTTTAACTCACAGAGATCCCCGTCTCTGCCTTCCTAGTGCTGGTGGATTGAAGCTGTGCACCATAGTAACCACTTAATAGGCACTGATTGTATTCTGGATCTCTACATGTTATTTATGTTAAAATTTACTTGTTTATATGTCATTTCAGGTTTTATTTATGCCTTTACTTTTTAATATCTGACTTGCTTTGTGGTCTTTTATTTAAAGCCCAATTTCTTTTGTAGGCTTCATGAACAGTTGACTGAGTCAGAGCAGGCTGCCCAGTGTTACATCAAATACATCCAAGATATCTATTCGTGTGGGGTATGTGTCAGAGCATGAGAGCTGTGTCCCTGACGGGTTCTTGTCACCTCAGTCATGCTTGCTTTCCTTATCTAGGAAGTAGTGGAGCACTTGGAGGAGAGTACAGCCTTCCGCTACCTGGCCCAGTACTATTTTAAATGCAAGTTGTGGGATGAAGCTTCCACTTGTGCCCAGAAGTGCTGTGCATTCAATGATGTGAGTATTGATTCCAAAAGTTTGAGTTTCAGGCCAAAACATGTGGTCTTTACATGGTGTGCCAGGAAGCTTACAGGAGTCAGCCATCGAGTACTTCTGTAGTGAGGAGTGGCGGGCTGCGTTCCTGCCGCCTGGCTAGCTTATGCCTCGAAATATCAACACACAAATTGTATTCTTTTAAACACTACTTGGCCCATTAGCTCTAGCCTCTTACTGGCTAATTCTCACATCTTGATTAATCCATATTTAGTAATCTTTGTAAGCACCACGAGGTGGCTTTCCAGGAAAGATCTTAACCTGCGTCTGTCTCAGAGAGGAGAATCATGGTGACTGAATTCACTGCCTTCCTCCCAGCATCCTGTTCTGTTTACTCCGCCTACCTAATTTTCTGTCCTATTAAAGGGCCAAGGCAGTTTCTTTATTTAACCAATGAAATCAACACAAAACAGAAGACTCTCCCACATCATACTTCCTTTTTTTTTTTTTAAAGATTTATTTATTATGTACACAGTGTTCAGCTTCCATGTATGCCTACAGGCCAGAAGAGGGCACTAGACCTCATTACAGATGGTTGTAAGCCACCATGTGGTTGCTGGGAATTGAACTCAGGACCTTTGGAAGAGCAGGCAGTGTTCTTAACCTCTGAGCCATCTCTCCAGCCCCCATACTTCCTTTTTTTTAAGGGGACAAGCCTCCTTTTATTTGTAAAGGAATGTTCTGAAGAGTATTGTAAAAACCAACTTTTGAGGGCTGGAGAGATGGCTCAGTGGTTAAGAGCATTGCCTGCTCTTCCAAAGGTCCTGAGTTCAATTCCCAGCAACCACATGGTGGCTCACAACCATCTGTAAGGAGGTCTGGCGCCCTCTTCTGGCCTTCAGGCATACAGACAGAATATTGTATACATAATAAATAAATAAATATTAAAAAAAACAAAACCAACTTTTGAGAATAGCACCGAACACATTTTGAAGCAGCTGTAACTTTGTTTCAGACACGGGAAGAAGGTAAGGCCTTGCTCCGCCAGATCCTACAGCTGCGGAACCAAGGGGAGACGCCGAGCACTGACACGCCTGGTACCTTTTTCCTCCCTGCCTCACTGTCTGCAAACAACACGCCTACACGCAGAGTTTCTCCACTCAACCTGTCTTCAGTCACGCCGTAGTTGACAGCTCTCAAGGCAGCGCACTGCTAGACCAGTATTAAGCCTTACCTCCGGTAAAGAGCAGCCACGTCTGTTCTCCCAAGGACCTAAACTCTTCTCATTTTTACAGATAGAAACAGCCTTGGGGACAGCCTATGGAATCACCTTCAGAGGTAGACAGGAACAACGGAGGACAGTACTGACTGTCTTCTGTCAGCCAGCACTTCTCCCTTCTATTCAGAATAGCAGGTCTTGGCCCTCCCATAGTCTCCTCACCTCCACAAATCCCTTTTACAGCACTTTACCATAAGTGATGCTACAGAAACAAGGTTTAATGATGCTGGAGTGGGCTAGGCAAAGGGGGGAGTAAAGACTATCCTGCTTGTCTTCTGGTGTAGTGATGTCAGGTGTTGACAGGGTTTCTCTGTGTAGCCTACGAAGGGATTACAGGCGTGTGCTGTGAGGCCTGGCTAGAATGACCTTCGTTTTGCAGTGTGGTCTCTGATGTCGGAGATTAGGGTTAGAGTGTAGCTATTCATATGATCTTTGGGAGACTGCTTTCGAAGGGAGTCTTCTAAAACCTTTCAAGTGGAAGTCTGTGAGCATGAACTGTAGCTCATATTGAGGGCCAGGATGGCTACAGCATTGGCTATACCCTGATGAAAGTCAACACAGGGAGACCAGATTACAGAGAACTTTGTGGACATTTGAAAGTACCTTTTTTTTTTTTTTTTTTTTACTTTTATTTTATATTCTCTGTATCTCTTTGACCTGGAATAACTCTGTAGACCAGGCTGAAAGTACCTTTTTTATTTCAGACATTAAAATCCATGCTGATATTTTTTAGTTAATGCTTGATGTAATTGTTTTTTCCTTTTATCTCCAAAGAATACTTTGTTTTCAACCTTGTCTGCAAGGTTGAGGGAATCATTTTATGTTCTTGTAGTTTCAAATACACTTTGATGTTTGTGCTATACGATGCTAGCGACCATTCTGTGTTTAAGATGTAACCTTCCTTCTCTTGTGCTCAGAGTATTTTTATTCCCCTATTACATTTGAAATTTTAGCTGTGCATGATGGTGCACGTCTTTAATCTAGCATTTTGAAGACAAAGGCAGGTGGATGTTTTGAGATTAGCTGTCTACACAGCAAGTTCCAGGCCAGTCTGAGCTACATAGTAAGACCTGTCTTGAAAAAAAACCCAAACAAACAACAAAACAAAACCTTTTGAATATGTATTGCCATTTGACTCATTTCGTAGTGCGCCTCAGGCTGGTTCCCATTGCTGTTCCTGTCCAAGGGTCCAACGGACCAGATGGTATTTATATCAGTTTCTGTCCCCCTTTTTATATTTTTCTAAGTTTGGAATCCAAATAAAAGCATAAACAGTGTCTTTATTCAGTATAATATTTGTGCATGAAAAATGAGATTATATATGTGATTATAATACAATAATTCGTGATACAGTTCAGGAGATATACATACATATATATATGGAGCATAAGAGACTTAAAAGTTGAGCAGTTCACCAACCTTAGGGCGACAAGCATGTGTCTTCATCCCCACAACCTTAGTACTTTTTGCTGAAAGGAGACCTGAGCAAAGGAGAGTGCCGAGAGCGCAAGATCCGCGCGTAAGGGCCATTGTCCGTTGAGCTCTGGCAGGTGGGTGTTCGGGGAAGTAAGTTTCGAAGGAATGGTTTCTTTCCTGGGGGTTGATGATTTGGTTGCTGGTTTTCCTGGTTTGTTCCCAACCGCTTTTTAGCAGAAGCCTGGCCTTGGAGCTTCAGCACAGTGTTATACTGCTCAGCAATGCAGGCTGTCTTTTTCTGAAGGTCCAGTTTCACTAGCATCATGTTATTCTGCAGCTCAGCCAGGGTCTGGTTCTAAGTAACATAGAAGTTAGAGATTGAACCTTTAACCCCAGCCAGAGCTACACAGTGAGACCCTATCATCTTCTAAAAACATTTCAGCCTGCCCCTAGGTATGAGTCTAAGAAGTGAACATTTCTGTTTAGCCTTTTAAGATCTCTGGCATCAGTACACACCAACTAGAAATGCCATTGCTTAGTGGTAGAGTGCCTGTGTAGCGTGCATGAAGCCCTGGCCCACCATGACAGTTTTTCACTAGTACACCTTTCTCTTTTGTTCTCAGTTCCCTTCTCACATAGACACTGGATGGGGCTGGGAAGGGAAGGAGTGTCTAGGCTGCCCTCACCTGTTTGATTAAGATGTCATCGCAGTTGGTCAAGGCTTGGCGAAGTTTTCCTGCCCCGGTGCTGTGACAGCAGGCCCTTTCTGCTGACTGGAGAGACTGTCCTATTTTCTGAAGCTCTATCCTTAGCATCCTTATATTCTGAAAGAGCAGATATCAGAGTGTGGCTAAAATCAACCACAGCAGCCATTTGACGACAGACTCAAGGAGGCTGGGAGCCGGTAAGCTGGCTTAGCTGGTGAGGGCACTTGTCCCCCAAGCTTGACATTCTGAGTTAAATGTTAAATCCCAGGAACCCACATGGAACCCATGTGGCTTCCACATTACCACACACAAATAAATAAATAAATGTAAAGCAAAAACAAAAGCTGGCTTTCTGAATGAAATAGCCATTCCTCAGGGGACACACATACAAACCCAAATACAAAACAAAACAAAAAAAACCCAGTCTCACATAAATTCCCTTTGATAACAGAAAGGTTACAAACCTTCTGGCCCTCCTCTAACTTCTTATCCACATCAATGGTGAAGGGCTTGGCTACGGCTGGTGGTTCCACCATTTGCTGGAACTTCTGTGGCTCTGGGAGGGAAACAGAATATAAACGCATTTAATACATGGCTTTCCAGCTTTGGGCTTACCTCTTTAACAGCAGCAAGCAGACAAGGTGAGGCTCTTTCCTCACCTTCAGTGGCAGAGTTCAGCTCTGCTTTGCATTTTTCTAGTTTAGCTTTTGCTTCCTGGAGCTGCTGAGTGGAGGCAGAAGCTGCCAGCCTTTGTGACCGCCGTAGGGACAGTTCAGACCCTGACACTTGAGCCACTGGTTGCTGTTTGGCTTCCTGCAACAGAGTTTCTAGCTCTTCAATTTTTTCATCCCGCTCCTAAGAGGGAAACAGCACAATTCTGTCCAGGGTCAGAGAAATAACCAAAGGACCTGATTAAATGAACTTTTTTTTTTTTTTTTTTTTTTTGAGTTTCTCTGTGTAACAGTTCTGTCCTGGAACTTACTTGGTAGACCAGGCTGACCTCAAACTCACCGAGATCTGCCTAGCTATACTGGGATGAAAGGCCTATGCTACCACTGCCCAAATAAATGAACATAAATCTTGACGCTAGACCCTGAATTTAAATTCAGATAACTACAAGGCACTAAGAGAAATGAAGAAAAAATGAATTATATTCCTGTTCTTACTAGAGTTTATAAAACTTAGTTAGGTACACACACCTTTAATCCCAGCACTCAGGAATCAGAGGCAGATGGGTTTGAGGTCAGCCTAGTCCACAGAGTTCCAGGAAAGCCAAGACTGTTACACAGAGAAACCCCGTCCCACAAAATCAATCAACCAATAAATAATTAAATATAAGTAAAATTTTGTTCATCTCAGACAACCAAGTGACAGAAGTCTGCACGGCAGTTGGGACTGGATGGGGCAAACTCACCTGAATCTCTTCTTGGTAGAAACTTGTCAATGATTCCTTGAGGATCTTCAGCTTCTCTTCATACATTTCCTCCAGTAGTTCCTTTTGGTTGTCCAAATGCTCACTGACAGGAGGGTAGTGAGGATTCTGAGTGAAACTGAGGGACAACCCCGTGCCCCAGTCTTCTGTCCCCTCTCACAGGTAACTCACTAGAAGGGGCCACTCAGCAGTACCTGCACCATTGCTCCCGCTGCTGCATCTGTTCCACCATCTCGTTGCAAATTTCCTCACGGAGCTGCATCTCTAACTGCAGCTTTTCTTGTCGTTCTTTTAAAAGCAGTGTTTTCATGGCTTCCACCACCTGCAGTAGCTCCTAGGAAGAACGCACCTGTCAGAGATCTTAAATCCTTCTGCAGTAAAAGGCCCGAACCCATCTGGAGCACCCCGTGGAAAAATGTGCAGCCATCAAGCTGCTATCCTAGAGCCTTCTTGTATTCTCACCTCCTTGCCATACATAGAGATGTCAGCTTCATTTTCAGGATGGTCATCAAGGTCTGAGTCAGTCTTGCCTCCTTTCTGTAAGCCAGGGGCTACCTGAAGACTATGCTCCTTGATGAATGAATGCAGGGGTGGGATCCCCAAATGCACAGGTGGGGCATGCACAAGCTAGAGAGGGAAAAGAAAAACTTAATAGCCTCATTTACCAGTTTCTAAGGACTATCTTCAGGTTGCCAGTCCAGATTAAGTACAATCATCATGCCTATAGCTTCATACCTGGCTGGCAAGGGCTGAGAACTTGGCCACGTGAAGAGTCTCATCATAGTTTGATGCACAGGGATTCACATTGACAATCATACATGAACGGCCTCGACCTGTGAAGAAGCCTTGGAACACACGAGTCAACTTGCTGTCGCGGAAAGGAATCAGGTTCTGCTTTGACCTTGCACAGAATCAGAAAAATAGCACTGTGAACATAAAGGGGCTTCCAAACACCATCCTTACAGGTGACGTAGAACTGACCAAATCACCAAGCCCCAGGCCATCCTAGCCCACAGCTTACCGGTTCTGCTGATTTTGCCGCAGGGCAGCAATACAGCGGCCCAGTGTGTGCAGAGAAGTGTTAATGTTTCCTGCCTCCTTTAGCCGCTCGCCACTCTTTTGATCCTTGCAGCGCTCTGAGCCAGCCAAATCACAGAGTGACAATCTGGATGGAATAATGTATAGGACCTGATGTAAGGAACTCATAGCTTATATAATTCTGGGAACAGCTAGTTCCTTTGAGAATTATACTACCCTTCGCCCCTACAACCAGGTGACCAAGATGATTAAATTTCTAAGTGGAAAAACTTACTCACTGATCTTGGGCACTATATCCCCTTCTCCCTGAAGATGCAAGATTCTGATGGAGAAGATGCTGTGACTGAAAAAGAGAAGAGAAAAATCCTATCATGTTGCCCATGCTCAGGTGGAGGGCTAATGCTTCCTAGACACAGCAAAGAGTTAATTTTCACAACTCACCTGCGACTAGAGTTGTGGTTCAGGTGGGTGCTGGCAAAGCTCTGGTTCTTGCGACCCACTTTCAGGAGTTTCCAGGCTTCCTCAACATCGCGAACATGGATCCAGTTGAGGTCTGTGGCCAAGAAAGAGGTGGGAACACTTAGCCCCCTTTTTCCCCTACATGCCTCCAGGTTTTCTACCAGGTTCCTCTACCTTTGTATACCTTTCACATAAGGATTGCCATTCTGATCTTCACACAGCCGCAGTGTCTGTCTCTTATGCTGATGGTTAGGTGGTTCTAACAGGTCATAAAGCAATTCATTGTAGATCTCAAAGAAGGATATCCAAACAGAGAAGCGGATGTCTGCTGGGACACTTACTGGGGCAGTGTCTGGCTGTGCCCATGAATGACTTGTTACTGTGAGAAAAATCAATGTGTAGGTCATTAATCACGGAGCAGTTCATCTTGCCTTGGTCTACAGGAACTTCAAAAGATGGATTTCAGGTTGTAATCTGACTTACAGACCTTAGAGCTGTTGGGGTAGGGAGTGGGTCCCCACCATTGCCCAGCACAGCCCACATGTACGTACCATCCAGCTGGCTACTGCTGCTGAGCTGACTGGTGGAAGAGAGCCCAGCAATGCCACTGTCAGAGCTGGTGCTGGTACCTATCCGACTATCAATGTGGGCACGTTTCTTCAAGGAGGTGGACAGCTCCTCCTGAAGGAGCAAAGAGAAGATAAGCACTAATCTTTCCTGAACTCTACCCTTTATCCCAGCTTTCTTACTACTCTACCTCTTGAAGGCCTCCAGTTAGTAAGGATTGCTTCTTTATTTCCTCCTGGCGAATCTGTTTGCTGTCTAGCCAGATCACCTCACTGGAAAGCAAGGGCTTCAGATCAGGTATCGGATGAAGTTGGCCTTGGAGACTATTAAAGATGAGAGCCAGGGACCGGGGCAAGATCCCCCCATCCTTAGTAGTACCTGGAAGAATATCAGAGATAATATCTTTTACCCAGGGCATCAAAAGGTAAAGACAACCATTAGATCCTGGGTTAACTACCCTGCTCAAGCTTACTACTTACCTTGAACTGTGTACGTCTTCCCCGAATTGGTAACTCCATATGTGTATATGAGCCAGTTCTGCCCTTTGAGTACATCCTTTACCATCTCCTTCACAGTCAGATTGAAGAAGGGCGCCTGGCCCACTTCTGGCCCAAATATCTAGAAACAGACCTGTTATCAGAGGCCTGCCATACTTCACCTGCTACCTGTTTCCTGTGCAGGACTGGTAGGTGTATTCCTTCCTGGGGACCACTCAGCTAGGTTTTCCTGCTGAACTCCAGCTGTTCCTAAATGCCGAAGACTCAGCCACACTCTGCTAGTCCCCTTTTTCCATGTTAAATACTTAATGCTATTGTGACACTGCACACAAGGGGAATATCATTGGTTGTAAGCATGGGTTTGAGGTGGCTGGATCTGGATCCCAGCGCTGTCTTCCCACTTACTAGCTCTATGGCGTCAGCAAAATTACCTTCACTGTACTATGAGCCACAGTATGCTTATCAGGGAAGAGGTGATGACAGTATCAGCAGGAATGAATGTACGTAGAGCACCTGACACACGGATTAGCACATAGCAAGGGTCCCAGAATTAATAGATACACATATAGAGAACTCACACTCGGGTAGAAATCTTTTAAAGAACAAATAAAACTTCCCGAGTGTTGGGTCTAGTTCATACACCAGTATTGCATACCTGGGAAAAGGTGAATTTGTGGGTGGCCTGACCAATTCCCCTCTCATTGCTCTTCAAGGCAAAGGAGTCTTTGGGTGCTTGTAGCATAAGAGTTTCTGAATTCTCAATACGGACACAGCCCTGAGAAGGCAGAAAGCAGAGGTCAGCACAGGAAAGAATTGTTCCTAGTGAGCCTCTTCTGTACTACACCATTTCTACGTATCCTCACCTGATCTTCTTGTCGGTCCAACTCACAAGTTAAAAAGGGTCTGATTCGAAGGTAAACTTTCACCCTCTCTGCAGTGTCCTCAAATGGAGCCTGTAACAGATTCCAGCCAGGACAGAGTTAACTTCTAAGCAAATGGGCAAACAGCCCAGTTCCTAGGAAGCATGCTACCAATTCCTCATTCCACCTTAAGTAGCCCTGTGCAACTGTTCTTTGGTTCCACAATAATTCTAGTGCACATGAACTTTGTTACTCGTCCCTGTCTCATTACTGTCCTGTAAATCTGGCTAGCTATACCAGTGATCTGTGTTAGAATCGGTTGATATTTGAAAATCAGTACGCACCAGGCATCATGCTTGTAATCCCAACATCCACTAGGAAGAAATGGGGGAATCAGAAATTTAAAGCCAGTCTTGATTACAAAGAGTATTTCAGAATAAACAATTTTTGTTTATTTAACTTAGGTTCTCTGGCAAGAAGGACTCTTAACTCTTAGTAAGATGGCTCAGCTTACTTACTAAACAAGCCTGCCAACTTGAGTTCAGTCACAGAAATCCATATAAGAATGGAAGAGAACTGACTCTCCGAAGCTGTCCTCTGACTTCTACATGTGCGTATCCCCATCACATATACATCCATACCAAACATACATCCAACAATAAGTAAGAGTAGACGTGCCTGAATCCAAGACCCAATTTCATCATAGTAATTAGGAGACCATGAACACAGTTCTGAAGGACGACATTAAATAGCAGTCACTCCATTTACTCAGCAGATGTTTAGAGACTGTCTCTCTGTTCCCAAGACACTGTTCTAGTTAGTGAAGAGATACTGCATCTAGTGGTTAGAGGCCAGAAATGCTACTAAGCATCTTGCCAAGCACAGAGCAGCCCCTCTCCAACAAAGTTTGGCTCCAAGCATGAATAGAGCTATTACTGAGAAATTTTTGGCCTACAAAAGAAAGGCTAAAGCTTTGGCAGCTATGATAATTATTAAAACATGAATTCCATTCTACCTAGTTAAGACCACCATGGTTCTGTGCAAACAATTGTATGCAGTGCTGAGATTTGAACCTAGGACATAGCAAACATATATTCTCACATCCTCGTACCTATGATTTAACAATGGGGTACTTCATGACTATAATGTCAATAATATTCTTAAGAATATAAACTCTAGGCCGGGCGGTGGTGGCGCATGCCTTTAATCCCAGCACTCAGGAGGCGGAGGCAGAGGCAGGCGGATCTCGGTGAGTTCGAGGCCAGCCTGGTCTACAAGAGCTATTTCTAGGACAGGCTCCAAAGCTTCAGAGAAACCCGGTCTCCAAAAAACCAAAAAAGGGCCGTGGTGGCACATGCCTTTAATCCCAGCACTTGGGAGGCAGAGGCAGGCGGATCTCTGTGAGTTCGAGGCCAGCCTGGTCTAGTTCCAGCTAGTTCCAGGACAGGAACCAAAAGCTACAGAGAAACCCTGTCTCGGAAAAAA